AATTGAGTAATTGCATAGGCCTACGTAGTCTTTTGACATGAATCAATAAATCCCAAAAAGAAAGGAAGGTCCTGTGTTTCTCTACCGGGAAAATTTTGATTCCTAGATGGCAGGAAATGAGCTTTCCCGACATTTGAAGTGTGTTTTATGGTTAAGACATTTGTTTTAAAATTTTGTTGGAAAAACTGTCAGTCCCAGGAAGACTCTTTTTGTCTTTTGAGAAATTAAGTTAGTAACTTCATCTTCAATATTACTAGGTCAGGTAATCTTTAATGAACTAAAGGACTTAATACATGTATATTATTAGAAATTGAAGTGCCAATGTTAACAAAATATTCATTGAAGTGAATTTTAAGATAAGTTCGGTTTCAGTAATTTTTTGTTTTGCCATTATGTTAGTGGTTGTGTTGGCTTTTATTTCCACTATACAGTAAAATGAAATTTGAAATTAGATAAAATTATCAACCAATTAATGCCAATCGATGATAATGGTGGCACTAGCGGTGGGGGAGGGGAATTGTGTGAAGATTTTGTGTGGGTCCAGGTGTTAAGCTCTAATGGAGATCCAGGGAAATTCTCTTTTCTCTTGGAAATTGTGTGATCTTCCCATCAGCTGGTAAATTAACAGAGAGATATTCCAATTGATGATAACTCAGTTTTATTGAGTGAATTAAATAAATAAATACTGTACTGTAAATGACCAACATCAAGCACCAAAACAACTACTATCAGTTATTTTTTTCTTCTTCAGTTGTGGATACAATTACACTAAACTTTACTAAAACAAGTACTGTACCTGATACCTGTTTTAACTACCCAGTTTGGAATGGAAACCAAGTTTACTTTGCACTTAAGTACACCACAATACTATGATGAATTTAATAAAATTCTCAAAATATTTTATCAAGGATAGGAAAACATCAAATTATACGTCTTTAAATTCTTCTTACCAATGCAAAATCATCCCTTATATTTTCTTAGCTGTCATTTAAAATTGCTAGGTACAGTACTACTGCACTAAAATTAATTAGATTCATTTTTTTTCCCAATTTATGTAAGTTATACTGTATAATGTATTAAACAAGTGTGCTTTCAATTACATAAATTCTTTTCAAATTCTTCCACATTGTTAAAAATACGGTATCATTAAATATCTTTTCAGATGATCATTTTACCTACACAATTCTTAACATTCTGTATGGCTTCCCTCCTGTGTGCACACTCTCAAATGTACAGAAAAGTGCTAAACTGTTTCTAAAATTTTTTCCAAAAATGTCGAATTTATAATTGTCTTTCTTCTGATATGTATCCTTAAATGTTTTTTAAAGTGTTATACAGATTGAACTTCTTTCCACAATGTTCACTTACACACGGTGTCTGTGCTGTATGTTATTAACATACACATGTTTTTCAAAGTTCAAATTTGATTAAAACTTTGTTTCACAATTACCACACTTGCATGGAATCTCCTTTCACAATGATCACATTTTTCCTATTTGTAGCCTCAAATCACTAATGTTTCAAAATGTTCTCATTCAAGTGATTTCTCTTCTGAATCCTCAAATGAGTTTTCAAATTGATGTTGTGTTTAGTTTCTTTTCACACTCATAAAGATTGTTTTCGTTTGTGTATCTTCAAGTGAGTATTCAAATTGCTACTTTGATAAAATTTCTTTCCACAATAATCACATTCAAAAGGTTTTTCTCCTGTATGTATCCTTAAATGAGTTTTCAAATTGCTATTTTGATAAAATTTCTTTCCACAATATTCACATTCATATGGTCTTTCTTCTGTATGTATCCTTAAATGTGTTTTCAAAGTGTCACTTCTACTAAACTTCTTTCCACAATGTTCACATTCATAAGGTCTTTCCCCTGTATGTGTCCTTACATGTGATTTCAAAGTGGTACTGTCTTTGAATTTCTTTTCACATTGATCACATTTATATGGTTTTTCTCCTGTATGTACCCTTAAATGTGTTGTCAAACGGCTCAAGTGTCTAAATTTTCTTTTGCAATAATCACATTTGTATGGCATTTCTCCTGTGTGTATCTTCAAATGTGTTTTCAAATCATGAC